GATTTTATGAATCCTACTTTTAAAATGAAAAAAAAAACCATACGCTTTTATTACTTATAAAAGAAAATTATTTAAAAAATATAAATATTAAAAATCACGTGGTCATTAAATATTGGTGAAACAACTTAAATGTGCACTTTTTATTCAAGTTTTATTACATTACATGCTGTGTCTTTCTTTTTTAATGTAAAGTACATTTATTTATTAATTATTAAATTTCCGTTAACATACCTTAAATTCTACTCTTACGAAATAATTTATCTTTTAAGCTTTGTAATCACGATTTTTGACATAAGGTTGCATTAAAGAATATTTAAAGAGAATAATTCTAATTAGTCCTTTAAAATTCCAAACATGGGGCTTCTTTCAGTGGCTTACCAGCACAACAAGAACAAACTAGGAAAGTACCAACTCGCATAAAACAAAGTGTCAGTTATTACATTAATAACGAAGGGCTAGGGCCCTACCCTTTTTGTACATCCCTAGGGGTTGGCAACTTCCGGTTTTGTGATGAAAAACCGGCAGACATAACGTGCATTCTTATTTTTGCCGTTAAGGTTTGCTTGATGAAAAGTTAAGAAGGAATTTCCTCAAAGAAGAAAACTCCTTTGAAGTATCAATCACTCTAAGGATTATCTCTAACAAAATGTTATTGTTTACTCACCAACTTAATGGGGAAAATCCATTTAAATAATTTGATTTAATATTTTATTATGACGCAATAAAATAACAGTAAGTTAGTTAAAACATTGTAAAATTGTAGATGTTGTCAGTTTATTATTTTGAAACTTGTAACATTTACTATGTAAGTTGATGATATTATAAAAAAACATATTCTTCATTGTTTCTATTTATTATATATACTATACTTGAACATTCGTTTAACAGTACTTGTCTAGCTTTGGTATTTTATAAAAATTCAAGCGTCAAACACAGCGCTGTTGTAGCAACGGTGGTTCAATCAATTAAAACGTAAATATCCTTTTCAAGGAGGTTTTATTTCATTTTACCGGTAATGGTGTGACACAGCTTTGTTAAATGCTACTCTTAAACAGTGTTTTTTATTAATACTAATTAATTTTTTTTATTAATACTAAATTTTTAAGAGATTAGCACTACTGCTGTAAAGTTGTGCATTCGTATTATTCTATTATCACAACAGCCACGAAGTCGATGACGAACGCTGCGTTGTTGCCAAAATCGAACTAAATATTATATAAAAGTAACAAGTTGTATTATGGCTTAGCAAATAAAAGATACGGATTTTAGCTGTCGTAATTTTTAAATGTTTAAATTATTTATTTTTATTTTATTCCTTTTAGACCAGTAATGTATATATTTTTAGATACTCGTTTTATCAATTTTAATAAGATTTAATAAGATCAATGCCGCATCCTTGTTTATGATATCCTCGTTTCTAACCACTAGTGGTTAGTCTGATTTATTGTAGGCCCAGTCGCAAAAACAGAGTAACCACACGCAAGCGGTTTGTTGGTACATATGGACATTAACACGTTATTGCTGTTTAATCTTACTAAAGTTTTTTCTAACTTTGATTTACGACTGTACGTGATTTTGGTGGCGTTCTGTTCTATTACAAGCTTTGTTTTATTTTTTTAACATTCATAGTTAAAATATATTTTAAGTATAACATTTATGTAAAAAAATACACAACACATTTTCTAATAATGATAATTTGTAACTATAAAAATTATCAAAATTTACTTATTCAAGTGTCTAAGAACGATTTCTGCTATTAATTTTAAAATATTACTTTACATTACATTGTCAAGAGAAAAATAAAATTATCGCAAATAACTCATGCGACAATCGTCAAAACAAAACCGATATTTTCACGACACATTTTTTTAAGTGCCCATACTCTGCTGCTAGCTTTCCACCAATGCTTTCATGGTCCTGCATTACACATATAAATCTTTCTTTTGAATCATCCTGTATAGTGATGACAACCAAACTAAAATCCATTTTTATTTTTCAGTATATAATTGTGAATGAGAAATTGATCAAATATAATAATCGATAGTGTAATTTAAAAGATATCAGCATACAGACAGCGAAAAGCTACTTTGCTTTATACTATGGATAGATTTTAAATTTTAACATAAAAAAAAACAAATTATATTAGAAAAAAAATCCATTGAATCTGAAGTACCTATATAATGAAAAATTACGTAAGTAACTTAAAAAAAAAAATATTGGAAATCTATGAGTTTTAATTAAATTAATTTCTAAATAATCTTATCGAAACGTAATATTTTATGATGATGGTATTGTCCATTGAATGAAATTAAATCAAAAATGAATGAAATTAATATTCTTTTTATAGAATAAAGAGAACCAATCTAACACACAGCGTTGTTTTCGTGAACCGACAGGCGTGAAATTAACTTTCAGAAGGGAATCTTTACAGAGATCTGAAATGGGAAATGTGCAGGAAACCATTAATATCATTGAATATTATCACTAAAGCCTTGTTCGAATAATGTTCTGGGAAAAAAGAAGTAAATTGTAGATTAGCTTGCCACCAGGGGCTTTGAACCCGTGGATTACTTTGAATGTTAGCTACTGGTCTAAACAAATGAAAATAATGTTATCTCTAATATAATCTTATAGTTCGTAGCGGCTTCGAAAATTTGAAATATCATTGATTAAATGTATAATAAAAAACAAAAACCTTCAAATATAGCTTTAAGTTAACTATGAATAACATCTATCTACCTATACAATAATATAGTACAAAATTTATACCAGAATAATTATCACTTCATGATAAATAAAGATTTCATACTTTTTTGTACAAATTATATTATTTATTTATTTATTTATTGAACTTTATTGACCAATAAAGATGGTACAAAAGGCGGACTTAATGCTAATAGCATTCTCTGCCAGTCAACCTTTGGGAAAACAGACAAACGCGATGGCGGTACAGAGCAATAAAAATAAAAAACTACAACAACAAATACTAAACTAATCGTGAACATACTACAACATACTTAAAATATAAATAACATTACACATAATTACATACATAAATAAATACACACACACACACACACACACACACACACACACACACACACACACACACACACACACACACACACACACACACACACACGTCAATACACAGATGATGATGATGACAATCTTCACAAGCCTTGAAACAGAAAGGAGTGAACTTTTTTTTTGAAAATGTATTTATTTGGCGATCTTCTGATGGAATCGGGGAGGCTGTTCCACAGTCGAATTGAATGTAGTGTAAATGAGTTGGACATAAAGCCAGTGTGAAAAAGGGGAGTAGAAAGTGAGAGAGAGTTTGAAGAACGCAGGTGACGACCATGAGTGTCAGAGAGATATTGAAATTTACACTTTAAGTACTCTGGTGTATGAGGATTGGAAAGAATAGAGTAAAGTGTACAAAGCAACCGCAGATGCCTCCGCTGTCGAATAGGAAGCCATTTTAGCTGAAACCGATAAGAGGAAACATGGTCGAACTTACGAAGACAGAAGATGAAACGGATAGCATTATTGATAAGGCGGTCCAACTTATTAAGAAGATCTTCATTTAAATCAGGATAACAGACATCGGCATAGTCAATGAGTGGAAGAACAAGAGAAGTGGCAAGAGTGACCTTCGTCTTGATAGGAAGGAAGTTCCTGAGACGGTTGAGGGAACGTAGAGAGTAGGTAACTGTTCGACTCAATTCGGCGATTTGCGTGGTCCATTTGAACTCGGAGTCGATGTGGAGGCCAAGGTTTTTAACACTGGGGCTAAAAGGTATAATTGAGTTCTCGAACGCAACAGACAGATATTATCATATTTAAATAAAAACGATAAATATACATCATCGCAAAATTACTATAAAATGCCATTCACCGGCCGTCCGAGTTTAGTTGGCTCAGCCACGAAGTACATTTTTTCGTGTATTATAAATAAGTTATTCGCAAATTTTAAACTATTAAGAGCACCTTTAATATGTGTTTCGTCGTCGCAATCAGGGTTTCCAGCATCTGACCTCCACATTGGATACTAATACCGAGATATGCCTTGTACTTCAAAATACCGAAATAGACCTATAGTAATTTCTTGCACATTTTTTCCACGAACTCTTAAGACAATTTGACGAGTTTAGCTAAGTTTTTATTGTTTCTTCATCATTACTTTAACTTTAGAAAAATTGAGATAGATAGTATACAGGTCCCAGTGACTGTAGAGCCCTGATTTGAGGCGTAAGATGCATTTCCCCTAAGCTAACAAAAAAGGTACACGTTTGATTATATTGAACTTCTATGTATTTCTGTTTAACCTACTGTTTACAGCTTAATTGCTTATTAATTTTGTACAAATGATATCCGAGGAAGTCGTTTACTCGTAATATTTAATAATTGTCGGCGTTTATTACATAGTAAATTGCAAAAACCATTAGTAAATCTAAAAGTTAATTAATAACTAAATGTGACATAATGATATGAGTACTTTTTAATTGTTAAGGACACTAAAAATAAATTCCAAATACTTTTCTCTTAATGATTTATTTGTGGTCTTTTATATAACTTAATTCCATGACATCGTTAAAATAGCTATTAATACAATGACAAAATATATATATTCGAATAAAAACTTGTTAGTTTGTACTTAATTTATAATTTGAGTTTTTGAGTATACTAAATGAAATGTTTTAAAACTTTATTTTACAAAAGAAATGTACATAGGTGGACACATGGAGAACTGATTTCAGTAGGATACAGAATCGATATGCCTTATATATATATTTACAAAAATGGATAGGTATTTTTTAATAGATAAATGCGAGAGAAACATTTCTTGACTATATGAGATAGTATTTCACTTGAAATTTATGTAAACATAAAAAAACACAAATAATAATGTTAATAACAAAGAACGGTAATAAACGTCAAAGATATAACTGAAATCAATTTTAATTTTAAATTAAAATATACATCGAACAAATCTATTATTAGAAAAATCGTACAAAACAATTTTATTGTAATTACATCATGAAATAAACGATCCACATATGCGACTATACGCTGCGTCAATGCAATTTCAATGAATAATAAGCCTTCTCCCGAATCCGGATTGAAGAGCTTTTAAGTTATTTTTAAATAATTTATTAATAACAAAAGTCAAAACTTATAATAATCTTACATACACAACTTTGACGAGATTCAACTCAAGACTAGCGCTAAGAAAATCAAAAGTATGCTTAAGGTACGTTTGGTTTCTTTTTAGTTTGGTTTTCACACCATTTTCCGTTGTTTTTACAAAGTCATACATAAATTTCTACTTCAAAATTCAATGGATGATGGCGCTGACTTTTCATCCTCACGGTGACGTATGAATATCCGACGCCTCCTTCCGTTATGTTTGCGCTTGCGTGAGAAAAGTCATTGTCTATAGCTGCTACGCCCTGGAACAAAAATTTAATATAATTTTTAAACCGTTCGGACAAATAAATCTTACGCTGTCTTCTTTTAAATGAAAAAATATTTATTTCAAATCAGTCAGAATTACAATTTTGGCTGAGACCATCCTACTACGTATTCAGGAATACTAATTACACGTATTCTCGCTTGTCCTTAATATAAAATGACAGGAGACTTATCATAATTTTACATGGTATGGGAATAAAGACGTATACTTAGAATCCAATGTGTGTGTGTGTTTAAATGGCTTCTCAATTTATAGCATATATCCGTTTTACTATCTACTTTAAATCAAATATTATGAATGCAATATATCTTAGCGATGATAACAAAAATGTTTGTAGTATTGCGATTTACTAATAACTGGGTTAAAAACTTTTTGATAAAATGATTTCTTTACGGATTATTGCTAATTTGATGATGCTAGCAAAGATATACTTATAATGTATTCTGTCACTACTAAATATATGAATACTTAACATTGTTTTTAGTAAATAGGTCCCTTAAGCTTGTTATTAATTATTTTAAATATTAATGGACGATTCAAGAGTGCTCGTAGTAAGCTTATTTACATAGAAATTGTATTTGAAATAATATAAATTCTTATTTCACTATGTAACCAATTATGTGTTAGGAGAATCTGTGACTTTTTTAATGGATATTACAAAATTTGCTTTATTTTTGTACCTTAAAGTAACCATATTTTTAGTAACATCTGACGTCACAAGCAGTCTGCGTTAACGTCGCAAGCACGTCGAGGTTATCACTTTCGAGGACAGGAAAAATTCTGACATAATTTTGAGAATAATGTTAAAATGCAAATAAATGTAATAAGATTAATTAATGATTACTGAAAATTAAATAATGATTAAAGCTTTAATTATTTATGGTGGTTTATTATTCAATCCATAATTTACAAAGTTTATAATCGTTATGCTACATATTTAAATTCATTTTTTAGTTTTTTTCTATAACACTATTTTATTTATTTTATTAGTCATAAACGAGGTAGGAACATAAGTAAATATAATTCCGATAACCAATTATTCTCGATTACAAAGAACTAACTGATAACAATGTAACAATGTAATGAATTTACCAAATCTGAAAAAATAACAGAAAATTTATCTAACCTTTGTTGTTGAAGAATCTTTAAAATTTCTTTAAATTGACAGAGTTGTAAGGCAACAAAAAGAAGTCGAATTAATTATTTTAATTTTAAGTCGAATTAAAATTTATTATTTTTTTTAAACAAAAGAAATAGGTTTTTTTGATAGTACTCAAAAAAGGTTAAATATAGATTAAATAAAAAGAATGAAGATCCAAAGAGCCCATTGACAATATCGAACACACAAGATAAGCAATCGTCAGCTAATGGATAAATAATATTTCCAATTCCATAATTAGTTCGCATAAGAGACATAGAAACCGACCGAAGGAATGTAAACGGGAAGTAGTAATTACCTGGTTTATTTACATTAAATGCAAATTACATACTAAGTTAACAAATATAAGGTAACGCTTTAATATATATTGAGAAATCATCGTATAAAGTAACGAACCATTGTAAAGGTTTACTTTCTCATGTCAATTTACCAATGGTGACTATGACATCACATTTCAATTCAAAAGAGTTCAATGTTCGCACAAAGTTTAACCCTCTCCGTTTTTCATAATTTAAATTCATTAGGTTAATAATTAAGAAGCTTATTTCTAAACCATATATACATTTCTATACGGTTTAGAAATAGGCTTTCGCGTAGAAAGAAATTTCGAGCATATTGTTGACAATTCAATCATCAAGTAATTATAATGGAATTTAAGTGAAGGTTAATGACATTAATAATATTTATTTTAAATTTGCATACACATCACTTAAAAATGTAGTTGTTGGTAATTAGGATATCAAAGCACGTCTAGTGCTCAGACCTCAAGTTGCTGAAGTCCTTGTATTATGAAAATCTAAAACAGCGAATACACCATAATACCCACATCCGAAACAATATAGAAAAAAAAATCCCCATGACTTGACCAGGAATCGCATGCGGGACCTTAGAGATGGCGACTTTTCATTAGCCACTTGACCATGGAGGTCCTAAAGAAAATAGGTAGAAACTAACTAGAAAACTTGCAGATAATACATTTTATAATAGTGATATTAAACTAAGAATGCTGAACGAATCCTATATAAAATCAACTTAGACAATGAATTTGTTGTTATTAAATCTTCTTAAATGAACTGTACTTAGAACATTGATTGTTTATTTTAAAACGATAACTATAGTTTCCTAATTACCATAAGAAACTAAACAATTATTACTAAAACAAAACAAAATTAAAGTTGGAAGAATGAATTCAATGACGATGTTATGTTTACGTTTATATTATTGAAATGAATCCATTGTTGTCTGAATGTTTATATGGTTGGTTATTTTTATGTTTTGCTATCAAGAATAAAATGAAAACCCAAATATTAGAAAAAAAAAAAACTATAATTTTGAATCATTGTGTCAATACAATAGCTCCTTACAATATATTTATCCACTTAAATCTTCCCTAGGGAAGCTGAACGAATCCCCGCTAAGTATACTTATGCTAGATACTTAGCAGGGTAGGCAGATAAAACGAAGTAACACAAGGCACAGTCAAATTATGCTTTATTCCATAACGTATAAGAAATGATAAAAATATTGATACTAGAGTCACAAAAGTTGTATGTCATCTTTCACGGGAGTTTCTTAAAAACTTGCAACTAAAGGGTATAAACAAATCAATCAACAATTGTTGCAAATGGTTGGCAGTTAAATCGAAAATTATAAACTGATATATAAAATTAATCTTTTTAAAGAGGCCATTTCGTTTAAAGTACCTTTATAATCCTTTTCTCTGGGTCCGCGTACGTCAAAGTTTTTATTCGCTTCTTGAAGGGTATAGCGAAGTCTTTCACCCTCTGGTGGAACACCATCTTTTTCTTTAAAGTATCACCCACGAACATATCGTAACTTGTACACGCACAAACAAAACACAAAACACAAAAAATTAACACTGCCCGTGTCCGCATAACGATTTCATAACGTTTACTGGCATTTTCTCGAAGTGCCTTTGTTGACTCGACACAACGATGCGCAAGCGTCGAATGTAGTAGACCTCGCACGATAACCTCCGATAAGGCGCGTGACGTCACATTTACAAAATCACTCAAAATGAATTATCGACATTTTAATGACAATTTCCGTGGCGCATTCCGTTTCTAATGACACTTTCTGTTTGCAATACCGTCTAACGGTGTACCCAGTTCGCGTCGTTGTTTTGACTAAGACAATAGCTGAGGAACAATTGTTTTCACAACAGCCGTTTATTTTGTTGATATTAAAAATATTTAGAATTGTTTGTTTAGATGATTTCAGATTTTATTTTCGAGGATCTCGCTGAACTATTTTAAAATTTTTAAAAAGTTACTTTTGCCTTTAAAAGTGTAGACATAACAAAAAAATATGGTCATGCCCTAACAATGTTTTCATAAAGAGAATGATAATTAGCATTCCTGTCTTCCGACACATCAGTCAGGTATTTCACTACTTTCTACTATAGCCTCATTATAAATTTCAATACTAACAGTTTATTCCCATATGTTATCATTATCAACTTTATAAGCAAATGGGTACCTTTAATAACCATTGTTTGATTTTGTTATGTCACTTTATATTACACCTTAAGTGACGAGATAGAAGGGAAAGGTTGGCTTTATGGCGAAATTGAGTTCAAACACGGAAATTAATATACGCCCGGTTTTGAGTAATGCGCGGGAAAGGGTTAAATGAATGAATTAATTTGGATTAATCGTTCTTTTGGCACACCCTACCCGCTAGGGTATTATCCAAATAACGTTTTGTTTATTATACGTTTTGCCGTAAATAAAAACGTTAATGGTTTATCTTTTTGAAAGGGAAACGATGTTCTTTTTTTGTATTTAGTATGGATTTACTCTTTGTTTTGTTAAGCAAATCAATCTTTAATAAAAGTCGAAACTTTATTTGCTTTTATCTCACAATGTTTTTATATATCTTAAAAGTTTCAGATGTGTTTTTTTATATATAACAAACAGAATATTTACAACCAATGCTGAGTTATAAATTATTTTTATAGTAGGTATATAGTTGTTAGTTCTATATTAAATTGTCATATTCTACTAAAATTAAAAAATTATAGAATTCTGTTCCTGGTGGTTTAGAAATTAGTATTAATATATAAATGTAGGTGATGAAACCAGCGTTTACAGATAAATAAACATGACAACAAATTTTTCGTTATTGCGTTAGTTAATTAAATGATATCTATGTAATTAACGAAAAATGCAGTTATTATACAGGTTTAATTTATATTGCAACAAAACATTACCTACGTTGCGTTGTCGAGTTGTTCAAAAGAAAATCGTACCTCATTTGTTTCGCAGTGGTTTTTTTCGCTAAAAAGTATTCCCGTCGCGGCGATTTTCTTTTATTGCCGATGTCGGTAATAAATAAGCTGCTAGATCCAGGGCTGTCTATCGCTCAGCGGGTGCGCGTCGTCGTTGAACCCGGCTTATCCCAGTCGTACTGATTCTGCCCGGAAAGAACCTCGATATTTTCTCTTTTATGTAGCAATCGTTTCCTATTTTTAGTTTGCGAGCCTCGTATATTAAAAGGAGCAGGTCATGAAATTGAAAAAAATAGAAAATCTATTGATATGAAAAATTGGAATTTTTTATATCCATAGCATCAGAAGCATTTCAAACCAATAGTATTTATTTATGTAACTGTCGGTTTGTTTAATTTGAAAGTTTTATTTATAATACGGTATTTAAGTCTGAGTAAATGGATAGCTAGAAGACCTGTAAAAGAGATAAATATATTTTTTATTTTATATGTTCTAGGGTATTAACTGTCACGAGTTTTCACCCGCGAAAATATAGCCTATGACACCTTTAACGTGAATGAAATGACTTTTAAAATCGGTCGAATGGTGTCTCGAATCTATATTATTATTGGGTTGGCACAAAAGTTATGAGACACACTAGAAAAATCTATAACATTTCCTTTTTAAAATCATTTTTTTCGATAATATTCTAGAATGTTGTAGAACATTCTAGGTACTTCTGGTGTAGGGTATATAAAGCCGCGCTCGCGATTTGTTTAGTCAGTTTGAAGAAAAATGGACGAGCGACAAGTTCGAACACTATACTTATACGAGTACTTGTTAGGTCACAGTGCGCGGGCTGCGGCTGACAATATCAACAATGCATTAGGCGCTGGAAGTACAAGCCATGCGACGGTGTCCCGATGGTTTGACCGTTTTAAATCAGGAGACAGGAGCCTTGAAAGTCAGCCACGCTCAGGGCGACCACCCGCAGTGAATGACGACGATTTGCGCCGCGAACTGCAGTTGAATCCGGATGCTACCACTCGTGAATTAGCGGAAGCACTTAAATGCAGTCACCGCGCCGTGGAACACCATCTGCATGAGCTTGGTTATCGAAAAGTTTTGGCTCGGTGGATACCGCACATCCTTACAGACGTCAGTCATGCAGTCCGTGTCTATCTGTCAGTCACTTTTGCTGCGACCCCGACGTAAAGAGTTTTTGTCAAATCTGGTTACTGGAGATGAATCATGGATTTATTACGAGATCGATACACGTCGTGCTTTTTGGCTGCCTCGAGAAGAAACGCCACCAACTCAACCGAAGCCGAGTCAAAAGAACCGCCGAAAAATTCTGCTTTGCTGTTTCTGGGACGCGCAAGGCATACTGTTTTATGAGCTATTACACAATGAAACTATAAACGCTGACAAATTACCAAATTATCTGCCGCTATCAAGAAAAAACGAAGAAGACGAGTCAATGTAGTTTTACTGCACGATAACGCTCGACCTCACGTCGCATCTGTGGTTCGCCGGCAGTTGGAGAACTTGGGCTGGGAGACGATACCCCACTCACCTTATTCCCCAGACCTCGCCCCATCAGACTATCATTTGTTTAGAGCCCTGAAACAGCATTTGCGGGGTAAACAATTTAATGATTTCTCTGACGTAGAGGCGGAGTTGAACAACTTTTTCGAGGCACAGCCATCAGAGTTCTGGGCAAAAGGCATCCAAACTTTGCCGGATCGTTGGCAAGAAGTCTTAGATACTAATGGTAATTACATCATTGACTAAACTTTTTTTATTGTAATAATAATAAAAAAGTAAAAACTTAAACCAAGTGTCTCATTACTTTTGTGCCAACCCGATAGTATAGATAATATTGTATAGCAATCACGTCAAATGGTTTATTATATTATTTATAAAAATATAGAATTAAAGCTAGTTTGCATTACAATTTAACTATAATATCAGAAATTCTCTTTTAAAGCAGCTACAAACGAGAAACCAAAAAGGAACACATAGTAAAAGGATCCGGGCGAATACGAAGTAAAAATCAGACAATCCAGTTCCCTCTATAAATATAGAGGGTGGATAAACGTAGTTACGAACCCTTTTTCAATTCGTTTTACACAGACGTCAAGTTATTTTCACAGTATTAAAATAACGAATATTCAATTGCTTTTTAAGTAAAATTCATTGCAAACCATCAAGTCGAAATCACACACATTAAAAATACTAGTCTTTAACTTTGGTGCTATAATAACAATAATTCATTGTTATGTAAATGTGCAACAAGACAATGTGAAGTCTCTGACCTCTGTACTGCTAGGTATACCCCTTCCTGTCCTATCTTTTACTATGGGAGCAATACTGAATTCACGAAAAAATAATCAGCTGTTACATACTGTCAACGACTGAAGCTATTACAATTTTGTATAAATATCATATAAGTCCTGGCATATAATAATATTACAGCTTATATAATGTACTAGCTTTCAGCAAGTGGCTTCGTTGGCGTGGTCCTTACATTAAAAATTTATAAACCTTTCTCTTGAATTAAACTGAGTATTGAATTAAAACCACATTAAAATCCGTCGTGAAGTTTAAGTACTGACAGATGGGAAGCAACATTGTTCTATACTATGTATAGATTACTATATCATAGTCTGGCTGCAGTCATTCTAATGTAACATCTATATTTCTTGTCATATCCAAAATACATATGTTATGCAAACTTTACAGTCAATACAATAAGGGTTTTTGATTTATATAATCGAAGCGATAGGGTTTAAGGAACTCTCCTTTGAGGATCTTCAAAGTTCTACTTGAGATTTGAAAACGTTTATGTGTATCTGTGGTTCATACGAAATGTATGTAGCTTGTTTCTAATAAAACAAATATTTGAATACAGGGGGCCAATTCTACTAAATAAATTTTTTTTGAATCGAATCGAAAACGGATCGAAACCGGTCGATCTAGTTCTATTTTAGCTGAAATTGTATCGTATGTTACTTAGTAGAATAGACAAACCATTAAAAACTGTAGTTTCGTTCGGTTTCGATTCGTTTTCGATTCGATTTATTTGTATAAATTTTGTAATTTATTTAGTAGAATTGGCCCCCAGTGAGTTTTTTATTAATGCAACAGTGACCTTATATTAGTGTGGTTGTCGGGGATAGGTCTCAGTATCAATTTATGAAATGATTGGGTCCCTATTCTCTCCCCTATCTTATCTCATTTCATGACCTATCAAATATACTAGAAATATATTGTGAAATTGTTAAAAATCAGATGGTTAATCGACTAGTTGTGTTCAAGTATTATATTTTGATTAATTTTGCATTCACAATGCCAAAAATCCACTTGGTCCCTGGCACTCTAAGATGGGAATCGAACCCACGACCTTTTGCAATCCGGGCGACTGCTCTAATCACTGAGCTACCCAGGACCTAACAGGATTGAGGAATCTTTCAAGCACTTGTTACTTTTCGCTACTACAGAGCGTATTCTCATCAATTCCTGCTAATGTTACAAATGCGAAAGTAACTCTGTCCGCCTGTTTGCCGACCTGCCTGTCTGTTACGTATTCATTTCTAAAATACTAAACGAGTTTTAATTAAATTTGATACAGATAAAAAGTCGATATTGAGAATGGAAATAGACGACATATTATTATGTAAAAAGGGTTGTAATAGGGAATTTAAAGTTTTAATCACAATTCGTCACTACAAGTATGTACCACTCGAACGAAGTCGCAAGTAAAAGCTAGTTTTG